TTCTTTATATAACACAAAAAATAAAATAAAAATAAAAAAATCACTGATGATTAAGAAATTTAAAAACTAATAAGTTCTTTTAAAGAAACAGTAGAAAAAAATAAACATACTTGATTCAACAACTTGATTCAAAATGGCTGCCACAGCTAATGTAAGATAGAAAACACAAGATTTAGCTATAGAAGAGCTAATTTGGAGTGGCAGTAGCTAAAAAACATCCCCAACAATCTATTTTACGAAACTAAATGTTTGCAGTTTGTGAATTTTTAAGAAAAATAATTTATCAACTGAACTTAATTTTTTATGATTATAGTAAAACAATAAAACTGTCTCATTAGTTTTTATTAAAACACAAATGTAACCCATCATGTCGAAATTAGGATTAAGTCAAATTTGATCAAAAAGACCAAGTTACATTTTGAGATTTGGGGCTTTAAAAGCTACATTTTGATACCTGGATCATTCAGATATCATGAGCTTATACAGAGATATGACTTAATTTGTCTTGTTGGTTATGAAAATACATTACTGTTTGGTCTAAATACTAATTTTATGTAAATTTATTGAGTAATTTTTTACGTCAATATAAAGAGGAAACCTCAAATAGTTTTGTATATTAAGATTTCCCAGTTGAGAAGAAACAAAAACATTTCTAGCTCACGGGAAATTTTTCAAATTTTAATGTGTTTTTCCTTAAAATCAAGTTTTTTGTTGTTACTGCTCAAAAAATGCTTCAAAAATTTTTTTAGTATTATATGTCAGACAGCTCATTCAAATGATTCATTGAAAAAGCATTAACTTGTTATATTTTGACTGAATGCAATTTTTGCACACATTTAAATCAAAATCCTATATTTGCATTTTTCTACACATTCCATTTTTAGACTTAATCCTCGTTTTGATGTGATGGGTCACAAATGTGATCCTGACATGATTATAAAAGTGGGTGTCCTGGAGTCTAGACATAGCAAAAGAAACGTTTAACTTTTCTAAAAAAAAATATTATTTGCCTGTAAAATGTGACAAGTTTGTGTTTATTTGGCAGGTTTCTGTGAGACCAGACAGTCTCAGCCTGTGTGGTTACTGAAAGTAGAGTAGTTGCTCCTGCATCTTCCCTGGAAATGACTCTAAATCGCACCAAATGAAAAGAAATGTGTGTTTTTAAAACATGCTGCTTATTTTAAAAAAGTGTTCAATCTAAAATGTTAAGATTTGATAGCAACAYCTGTAGTTTTTGCATTTCTCTCTCCCCCAGCCCCACGCTAAAGCTCTGTGAGGCGCAGCTGACAAAAGCTTGTAGCGACTTGGCATTCTAGAGGAAGTGCAGCCCACAGACAGACACGGAGACAAGATGGGACACTTCAGTGACCACGCTCTGATGGGTAAAATCCCCCGGTCCGACAAACTCATCCCACACGATTGATGGCTGCTGTGACAACAGCCCTTCTCGTCACAGGCTGGAGAACAAGCTGTTGTGAAGGTCTGGGAACGGAAGATAGACCCCGGAGGGGAGGCTTGATTTACAACCCCGAGTCGAGATGGAAGCAGCGTCGCCCACAAGCTTTAGACGTCCCTCCAGCAGAATCAGTCTCCCTCAGCCTATCTGCCTGCCTCGCTTCTCGTCGCCCTTCTAGTGCCTCTTTGCCTGCCTCCTGACAGCAAGAAAAAAACTAAATGACACCTATAAAAACATAAATATTTTAACCTTCACTTCAGCGGACAAGCTAACCCAAAATGTCAGCTTTAGCTAATATTAGTAATTTTTTTTGGAACAAACTAAGGCAGAGGGAGAGGATGCTTGTCAATGTTTAGACAGATATCGCAGGAGATGGAGCTAAATTTACCATCTCATGTCACTGCATTTCAGTGAGGCAAAACAAAGTGAGGACACTCAGAGGGTTAACCGCTGCTAGACAAAACAACAACCCTGCAGGAAGAGATAACGCTGTGTTTTGTGGGAAACGTGTCACCTTAAGGCAATCATACACAGCACAACACCGTTGTATGTGTTGCAGGAAAAGATAGGCTGTTGTTTCTGTCGGCTGGGGGAATAAGAAAATAAATAAAAAATTCACAACACCTTGGACACCCACGAGTTCGGTGAGCAGCTTTTTATTGTGAGGCACAGATAGAAGAAAGATATTTCAGTCTCACATTCTGTTCCTTCCTTTCAGACACTTTCTCATGTGGAAAACGACACGTCTTGTTTATCTACAAATCAGGAAAAATTGCTTTTAGTTTCAGATTTGTCGGAACTCAGACATGATGCATCATTTCGTGGTCATTTGTATTCAAGTCAACGACACTGACAGCAGCTATAGAGCCAACCTGACATCCTTTAACCAGACTAAATAAAACCTGTCATGAGCCTGCTCAGCTCTTGACCACATATTCAGCTGCTTTTATACGCCAAAGTCCTTTCGACACACAGCCCCCCCCTCCTCCTCCCGCTCGTCTTTAATCTGCTGTTGAGCGAGTGAAGACACCCTCTCTCTTGCCTCCGTCTCTCTCCTGAGCCGTATCAATATTCATGGGTCTGCCGGGTGCGTTTGTGCATTGGCTGTCTCATTAGCCTTTGATCCCCCCTCGTGCGAGGCCTGTCGGAGCGTTGCGGCGCCAACAACAGAGCGGCGTTTGAAGTGCAGAGAGAACATCTGCTTGCATTGATCTCCATATACTTTCTTTGCCATCCATGCGCACGGCCACGAGTGCACAGATGCAGCCCACAGGCACATGAATACATGCATCTACTGTGGGCTCGGCGCGTCACTCGCAGAACCATCTCACGGCACTCCTTAAACCCAGCTTAGACCGGTAATAGATTAGTTGAGCTACAGAGATTGAACGCACAGTTTTTATTCTGAGTGATGAACTGGTTATGCTGTAGACAGATAGAAGGGATTAAGGCCTTAGAGACTATTTCTTTTTCTTACACTTTAAACCAACAAATATACAGACCATACCTCTTGATGTGGGGTTATATGGAAAGGTTATGAACTATGAATATCTTACCTGCAGTAGTGCTTTGCATGACCTTAAAGATTAGCAAACTAGTGGCTAATCTGAGCATCTTAAAATGACTAATATTGAACATTTCAAGGCGATTTGTGAAAAACACCAGTTTATAAAGCTTTACGCCACCGTCAGTCTGGTAGATTTGGCTACAGATATTTGTTTCTTCACGTAGACTAAATTATCGGTCAACAATTTTTAACCCCTTAAGACTTAAGTAAAAACTTGGTAATCAGTCATACGTGTACAAATTTAACCAGCATAGGAAAAATGATGCAGTAACTCCTACAACAAGCTTAACGCAGTGAAAATGCCAYACACTAAAAAAAATCAAAACATTTGCGTTGGATTTACTTAAATGATGTCAACAGGTTCTACTCAACTGAATTGAGTAAATCTAAAGCATTTTTTATTTACTTTAAGTGAATGTGAAGTAATTGTGTTAGATTTACTCAATTAAAAAGATTTACTCTATTCAGTTGAGTAGAACCTGTTGACATAATTTGAGTAAATCCAATGCAAATATTTAGATTTTTTTGAGTGATTTGTTTAAATGAAGCAATTATTGTTATATTTTGTTAAATGAAATATACATTGAAGCTAAAAATAACAAAAAAGTACATTGCCTTGATTTCTAAAAATGTATGTTCATCTTGCGCTTACAAATATCTACAGAATCCTGTGTAAGATGAAAATAACCAATATGTACATTTATTTAAAAATGTTCATGTGAACAGCAATAAAATGCTTAAAACAGCAGAAACCCATTTTATTCTCATCTCTTCCCAGACTAGCAAGAAACTCATTAAATACATTAGAATTCAACTTTTTCTCCAAACAGAGAACAGGTGAGATATTTACTATTCATTAGCTCTTCGCTGAAACCCATGTAAAACCTATACAGTTCTGGTTGAGGTTACACACAGAAAAGATACACATAAAATCAAAATTGAGGGAGTTGTGTGGGTGGTTTTTAGATATTTTTGATCATATCCATATTAAAAACCAAATGGTAAATTTCAACAGTGAAATTCACTTTTGAAAAGCATTTCAAAAGATTATCCTTTAACCAAGTGTGAAGTTTGCTTTAAAAATGTCAAAGCAGCCGACGTTGAATGGTGTCATACTATAAAAGAGCTCAGACATCACAGTGTCACTCGGGCTCGTATCACACTCTGTCTGCTCCACGGGCTTTTTAAGAAAAGCCTGGAGTCGCAYTGAATTTCTCCATCCACCACCACCCTGTCATCACTGAACACTTGGTCTCTACGGCGTTAAATACTTTCTGCAGTGCAGCCAGAAAAAGAGTTCACATGACATCATGACATGTGGACAAAGAGGGCTCCTGGCGCTGTAATATTTAACAACTCTGCTGTCCTCTGAAATAAGATCTGCTGAACATAAAGCAGACTTTAACATGAGAGGAGCTTGTCTGGGCTGGGCAGCGGATCAATACAGCCAGTGTGTGTGATAACATTAAACCGCCCTTAACGGCACTAATGAAGAGAGTGGCTGACAGATACTCAGGGAAACCTGTGTCAAAGAAGCAGCCTGTTAAAGAGAGTTCATTAGATAAAGTGTGCTGAAATGTCACCTTGTAATAAAGCATTTTAACTCGGTGTTAAAGTAAAAATAAGACAACTGTAAACCAATCACAGCTTTGGGATTAATCAAAATATATGCTAGTGAAAAATGGGATTGTTGAGCTTGATTTTTGAAGTTTTTAGTTGTGAGCAGGAGGATAAAAACAGTGAGCAGACTCTTTATCAGGTCACTTTGTGCAGAATTGCAGGGAGCGTTATCAGTCTTCAAATGTCAAAGGAACAGTGTCTCAACAGATTTTCACTGACATTTTGATAAAACAAACCCCATTTTGCTCCATCTAGTCTCGCACACACTTAAAGTAACCCACTGCTAAAAAAAAAAAGAAGAAGAAAATAAACAGAACTTGCAGGATGAGGAATAAAAGGACTTGGAAGATAACGTACCTCGTCTGGGAGGGTTTTAAGTTCAGGACCGGTGAGGTGGGACCGCCTGCCTTCTGTCTTCTCCGGGATGAAGACTCAGGAGGAGAGCTGCTCCTCTGCTGCCTCTTCTCTGCCTCTGGCTCCTTCTGCACAGACTCAGCTCCTCTCACTATCATACCTCCCTTACCCTCCCACCCCACTTTTTCTTTTTTTTTGCCCTCCTCTTCTACTCCTCCCCTTTTCTAACCCGCTCCCTCCCGTTTTTCCTCCCTCCTGCACCACTCGAACCCTCAAACCTGAAGAAAACCAGGGATTTTCTCCCCAGCTTTTATTACAACACATCAATGGTAAGTATATGAAGTTTTTTTGGGAGTGGTTTCATTATTATCTTTTACTAAAAGCATAAATCACCACACAAACACTCGTTGCATTCAATTACAAACTTTAATCTGAACACTTTTTTTAAAAGAACATTTGAGAAGTAGCATCTAAATATCGTAAGTTTCAGTGTCRGTGTGTAAAAAAAGGTGAACATATTTAACTTTTTTTCTGAGGGGGTGTGGATACGAAGGGGAGGCGAGTTCTGGAAATGATAAAAGATTTTTTTAAGGCCTTTAAAAATTCAGAACCCAGTGTGCACATGTGGAGAAAATAAAGTGACTGAAGAGAGTGGACTGATGCTGAAACAAAGGAGCCACTTACAGCCCAGCGAGGGGCTTCAGATAAGAATAAAGCCCCCCCAAGTGTGTTTGCAGGCTCCACTTATTGGTGAAAATTATTTTTTTTAACCTCACTCGCCTTTTATAACACAAATCCCAAATAGGATCAGTACAAGATGACCAGGCGTGGATTCCTCAGCACCGTCCACCTCTCAGCCCTTCTTTTTCCTCTTCTTTTATCCCCCCCTTTTTTGCTTTCACAGACAACCCACCGCTGAATCTGCCCCTGTTTCCATAGTGACACTTTCCCCGACTCCGGCTCCACATAATCAAGTGAACGGGATGGGGGGTGGGGGGCCGAGGGTGAGCGAGAGAGAGAGGCTGTGAGTGAGATGGGGGTTGAAGGAATAGCCAAGTTGAGAAAGAACATAAAAAAACATAGACAACACAAAGAGAAAGTCAATAAAGACGGTTTTGTCAGCAGCAAACAGTGACGTTGGCTGAAGCCCACCACTGGCCGGTGGGCTCTGATCAGGTGCTGCTCAAAGCCCTGGCATATGGCTGAAATAATTATCGAGCTCATCAAACAGCGAGATGGCCACTCGTGCTCCGCGACAATGCTCCCGCCCGAGCAGAGATGAATTATTAGAGAGAGTTGATCAATCTGAATTTTAATGCGCGCGCCGCTCAGCGTGGGTTTGCCGCAGGATGCCAGGGGGAGACGGTGGGAACCTTCCTCCAATGCTGGAACGGCATTATGCACAACAATTTAAGGGACATTACAAATCGTTCTGTTTCAAAAAATTTAACCAGCCTATCAGCACGGGCCGGCTGCGTCGCTCTRTTTATTGGTACGCTCATCAGTCTTTTTGATGGATATTTTTATGAATCTTTTTTTCCCCCAGATTTATGCTCCACTGATCATTAATCAACGCTGGCAATCCACTAACTTTTTTGTGTTTTTGTTTTCAGTAGAGAGGAAAAAAAGTTKTTGAATGATGGACGGTTGTTGGAAAAACCTGGATTTCTGCTGGATTAGCCATGTGAAAATGTGGTGGGTTGTGAAAGTAAAGTGATGGAGAGGTGGAGGATGATACTAGAAATAATGTGAGAAAACCATCACTAACTCTAACGAACACAGCTCACAGCTTGGGGGAACCTACGGTCCGATTTCTTTTTTTTCTCTTCCCGCTCAAAGTTTGAGCCAATTTTTTCCTCTCGACTAAATGAATGAACTTGAATGAATGAATTAACGACAGGCTCAAACTTTTGTTTTCTTAGCTTTAAAGTAGATAAACCACTGCATGAACTTGGCATCAATCTGTTCTGTTTCAAATAGACGCGCGACGGAAGCTCTTCCTCACAGCACGTAGCTGCAGAGGCCCGCTTTCACACATTTTACACCCCTGCTCGTTCGATTAACCAACTCCCAAACATCAGCGTGTCATGAACTGATAGATACCCAGGTGGTTCTAGTATTATTTTGGAGACACTTWCGTAAAGTCACCTTTCACAGACCTTGGTTTGCAGCTTCAAATGTTATCAGTCCAATAAATGGCTCCWATCAGATGTTATCACTTAGAAAACGTCTAATGAACGGTCTTCTCTAGCCCCTATGAGTCTCGGTGTTATCACTTATTAACCAAACTGTTCACATCTTCAGTTAGAAGTTAATTAGTGGACGTTCACTCAGGAGTTTTGGGTTTTCAACTCTTTAAAAGGTCTATTTTACTTTCAATCATGTGTTTAGTTTTAGACAAAAGAAAGTACTTTGCTTTAAGAGGGGAAAAGGAAAGTTAAACTTTAAACTGAGGTACACAAAGAGTTTTGCCACATCCTTTTGATGATTAAGTAATACTACTTGTCATTCCTTGGTAGAAGATGGTCAAAGGTTTTCCAATGTGAGCACAACTCATACATTGGTTTCATGGCACCTGGGCGGTCTCCTGTCCATGTACTAACTTAGCTTCCAAAATCAGACAAGACCTGGTGTGTTCAAGGTGGTATGGCCACCTACAGTGGTTTGCAAAAGTATTCATACCCCTTGAACTTTTCCATATTTTGTCACATTACAACCACAAACATAAATATATTTCACTGGAATTTAATGTGAAAGACCAACACAAAGTGCTATACAATTGTGAAGTGGAAGCAAAATTTTACATGAATCAAAACATTTTTTACAAATAAAAAACTGAAAAGTGCGATGTGCAAAAKTATTCAGCCCCCCTGAGTCAATACTTTGTGGAGCCACCTTTTGCTGCAATTACAGCTGCAAGTCTTTTAGGGTATGTCTCCACCAGCTTTGCACATCTAGTGACTGCAATTCTTGCCCATTCCTCCTTGCAAAACAGCTCAAGCTCAGTCAGATTGGATGGAGAGCGTTTGTGAACAGCAGTTTTGAGATCTTGCCACAAATTCTCAATTGGGTTTAGGTCTGGACTTTGACTGGGCCATTCTAACACATGAATATTCTTTTTTTTAAACCACTCCATTGTAGCTTTGGCTTTATGTTTAGGGTCGTTGTCCTGCTGGAAGGTGAACCTCCGCCCCAGTCTCAAATCTTTTGCTGACTCCAACAGGTTTTCTTCCAAGATTGCCCTGTATTTGGCTCCATCCATCTTCCCATCAACTTTGACCAACTTCCCGGTACCTGCTGAAGAGAAGCACCCCCAGAGCATGATGCTGCCACCACCATATTTGACAGTGGGGATGGTGTTTTCAGAGTGATGTGCAGTGTTCTTTCTCCGCCACACATAGCGTTTTGCATTGTGGCCAAAAAGTTAAATTTTGGTCTCGTCTGACCAAAGCACCTTCTTCCACATGTTTGCTGTGTCCTCAACATGGCTTCTGGCAAACTGCAAACGGGACTTCTTATGGTTTTCTTTTAACAATGGCTTTCTCCTTGCCACTCTTCCATAAAGACCACATTTGTGTCGTGCACGACTAATTGTTGTCCTGTGGACAGTTCCCCCACCTGAGCTGTGGCTCTCTGCATTTCATCCAGAGTCACCATGGGCCTCTTGGCTGCCTCTCTGATCAGTGATCTCCTTGTTCGGCCTGTAAGTTTAGGTGGACGGCCTTGTCTTGGCAGGTTTACTGTGGTGCCATACTCTTTCCATTTCCGGATGATGGATTGAACAGTGCTCCGTGAGATGTTCAAAGCTTGGGAAATCTTTTTATAACCTAAGCCTGCTTTAAACTTCTCCAAAACCATATTCCTAACCTGTCTGGTGTGTTCTTTGGACTTCATGATGCTGTTTGCTCCCCAATATTCTCTTAACCAACATCTGAGGCCGTCACGGAGCAGCTGTATTTGTACTGAGATTAGATTACACACAGGTGGACCCTTTTGAGTCATTAGCAGTCATCAGGCAACTTCTGAATGCAATTGGTTGCACTCAGGGAAAAGGGGGCTGAATACTTTTGCACGTCGCACTTTTCAGTTTTTTATTTGTAAAAAATGTTTTGATTCATGTAAAATTTTGCTTCCACTTCACAATTGTATACCACTTTGTGTTGGTCTTTCACATTAAATTCCAGTGAAATATATTTATGTTTGTGGTTGTAATGTGACAAAATATGGAAAAGTTCAAGGGGTATGAATACTTTTGCAAACCACTGTAAACCAAGGTATACAGAGGTTTGCCGTACTCCTTTTTTATGTTAGTGTACTAAGCAGTAGTTTCATATTGCAAGTATTTTTTGTGAAATTAAGACCTAAATTTCTGTCTGCAACGTGTTGATAGTTCTGTTGAATAAAAGAGGTAAACACTTTCATTTTCATTATTACCTCCGCCAAGGGCGAGGTAATGTTTTCGGTCGCGTATGTCTGTCGTTCTGTCTGTGGACAACATTACTCAAAAACTTGTGGACAGATTGTCATGACATTTTTATCGCATGTGGGTACTGGGCCCAGGAACACACCTTTAAATTTTGGTGATGTTCTGGATCACGATGCGGATACAGGAATATTTTTTTCTTTTGATGCTCTGAGATCGGCAAAGCTGTGATGCTTTCACAGGGCTTCTGTAAAGAAAAAAACAGTGAGCTGGATTGGACAGCACGGACTTCAAACTTTATAAAAATAATGTTAAAACCACATTTAATGATGAATAATTTTTTGCCATAATGTGCGCATTTTTGCACATTTGGTGCGCATTTAGAGAACGTTTTGTGACCAGGAAGTGGGTGACTGCACCATGAAACCTATTTTTCCCATTTCCTCAAACACACCACATTTCCGAAACAACCAAGCGCTACTAGGCTTGTAAACAGAGAGCTTCCAGGCCTCAAAGTTTGGAGACGGGGGAGCCAGGAAGCACTTTATAAAGAGAGTCAAACCATTAGAAACTCATACAAGGGGATAAAACAGACGTTTTACATGGTGAAATGTGACTGATGAAAACTTAGGAGCTTAATCCCACACCAGTTTGACGAATAACGTCGGGTGATGAGTCTGACTTTATTTTTTGTCACATTGGACTCCACAGAGA